AAAAAAAAAAAAAACGAAACAGAAAAGAGACTATTCAAACAAATTTTAGCGCTATGTGAAGGCCACAAAATGGTGTCGAAATCAAACGGAAATTGCAACCGAGCAACTAGCAGCGCTATATTATTTTTAATTGATACCGTTTTGCTTGTTGCTCCACCTGCTGCCAGATCTGTCCAGGCACCCAACCAGCACCAATGTACAGAGAGAAACAAAAAAAACTGCTGCAAACCTTCTAATCTCATTATACACCAACTATCATCTTAACACTGTTGCATAGAAAAATTTTATAAATTTTTTCATAATACTGCACCGTTTCTGTTAAAGGTGTTTTGAGTATCGCTACAGACATGGTTTCGCGCTGCCGGCAACATCTGTATAGTAAATGCCACATACAATGATCTACGTGCTCTTAGTGATTAAGGGAAAAAAAAAGGTATGGACAGGATAACCAATGGTATCACTATTTGCAAAAAGTAGTAATCTTTAAAAAAAAAGAAGCGGTAGTTGCACATCGAGTATCTTCAACAGTAAACTGGGCAAGATCAAAAAGATTCAAAAAATTCAGGCTTTGAAAAGCAAAAATAAAGATTCAAAAAACGTTGAACTCATCATTCCTCTGCACCAGAGTAGTAACCTAAGTAAGCGTAAGTAGTTGTTTCAAAAAAATGAAATCTAACGAAAGTGATAATTGTCAACGTTACTAATGGTTTTCTCGTTAGTTGCTGATACCCATAAGAGTCGTATAAAACAAATTGTTCCAAATGTTTTATGCCAAAAAATGTTACGTTTCAAAAAAATAAATAAAATAAAAAAATAAAAGAAAAGGAAAACCACCCGAACTTCTGCATCTCGTACAACGCTCTAAAGTAGATAAATGTCAAATACAGTACAAACTACTTGTTATAAATTCTTCCCGATGGAAACGTTCATCTCAAATTTACCCAGTTTTTTATAGTTATAAAACATTGACTGACTATGAGACCGTATAGAAGGTGCGAGTTTTGGGCTAAACTAAAGTTCAAGTTTTCAGAGTCTTTCACTTTATCTGAAAGTTAGTGAACTAGAGCAAGCAGGCCCAAAATTAACTGTTATGATTGCACACCAATAATATCACAAGCAGCAGAAAAAATTCTAAAATCAATTGTAACCGGCACCTAACTTCTGTCATTAAAAACATAAAAGAATTCTGTTTGCGGACCGAATAAAACTGAGGCCAAATTGAAAATATAT